GTCACATAAGATGTATATGATAAAAAAAAACAATAACTACAGTTTGGAAGATTCTATAATATATAATAGTGCAGAAAATAGACACAAGACTATAAACCATATAGGAGAAAACGTAAAACTATCTACATGAATCCGACAGTTTAGCAGATTCTATTATATATAATAGTGCAGAAAATAGACATAAGACTATAAACTATATAGGACAAAACGTAAAACTATCTACATGAATCTGACAGTTTATAGTAAGTAATAAATCAGTATATAATCAGAGTGGTTTGTGGGTTACCATGAGCTGTGATTGATAACAAATAACCACATTAATTTGGCAGGTTCTACTATAAAGACACAGTATTCCACATGAGACTATAAATCATATAGGACAAAACATAAAACTATCTACATGAGTCTGACTGCTTACAGTAAATATATCAGTATATATAATCAGAGTGGTTTGTGAGTACCCATAGGCTCCGAATGATAACAACTCCATACATGTGTTAGATTCTACTAGAAGTATATAATATAGACATAGTATTCCATATAAATCATATAGGACAAAACATAAACCTATGTACATGAATCTGGCAGCTTATAGTACATATATCTGTATATAAGGAAGGCAGAGTGATTTGTGGGTTACCATGAGCTGTGATTGATAACAAATACGACATAAATGTTGGCAGATTCTACTATCATAGTATATAATAGAAACATTAAGTTGATATGAGACTTTAATCTGTATAAGGGAAATCCTAAACCTATGTAAATACAATCTTGCTTTGATAGAGGAGGTATCAGTATATAATTTAGACAATAGGGAGTTTGTGGGCCTCTCTACAATGTACAGGAGGAAATATATCTACATAAATGTGGCAGCTTCCAGTAGATATTCCAGTCCATAATGGAGTTTGTGGGTCACTATCAGCTGTAAAGCAGAAATATAACTAGAACTGCAGAAATGTGGCAGCTTTCATAGAAGTATCAGCACATAATGCACACAATAAGTCTGGGGGCCTCTCTAAGCTGTAGGTGGAATATATATATATATATATATATATATATATATATATATATATATATATATATACAAGTAGCAGGTTCTTGTAGGTATAGCAGAGGTTCAGCCTCTTTTTACCATGGAGGAACCCTAAAAAAGTTTCCAGGTCTCAGGGATCCCCACTAAAATGATCGGACCTACTGCACACGGTGCATCAGTGTGATTAGTAGGTTGGTCAGAGCCTTAGATAAAAAAAATGGGGCTCCTTTATCATAAAATGAATAATAAAGACCAGAAAATAATGAGGGACAATTGTATTGTCCCCTTACATTGGCGGTCAGTAGGCAGGAGATCCACCTACCAATGTCTTCTTCTCAAGGAACCCCTAGCAATCTATGGAGTAACCCTGGTTGGGAAAAGCTGGTATATAAAATAGTCTGTGGGTCACAGGAGGAAAAATATATGTACATAAATATGACAGATTCTGGTAATTATAGCAGTATTTAGTACACTCTCTTAACCCCCCACTTTCTTTTTTTTTTTTTTTACCATGGAGGAACTCTTGAAATAGTTTTCCGGTTCCCTCCCCCAATTAACATTTTTAGACTTACATCTCATGATACATCAGTGTGATCAGTAGGTTGAATATAGTTTTAAATAAAAAGAATAAAGAATGTACTTCCTAAATAATCATAGAATTAAACAAATAATAAAGTCCAGAAATGAAACAGTGGAAAGCTGTGGTGTCCCCCACATTGGTGGTCAGTAGGCAGGGGGTCAATCTGCCCAATGTCCTCCCCTCAAAGAATCCCCTACAAACCTCTTGCGGTTGAGAAGGGCTGGTATAGTTTAAGGTCTCTAAGCTGTATAACAGGACATATATGTACATACATGTAGCAGGTTCTGCTCATTATAGCAGTATACAACATTATGCCAGTATAGGTTCTCAATCTTTTTGCCATGGAGGACCCCACAATATAGTTTCAGGAAGCCCACAATTATCAGACCTACATTTCAGGATACATTAGTGTGTCAGCAGGTTGCTCAATGTTTCAAATACAAAGAATAATGAAGTGAGCAATAATGGCCAGAATAGAAAGGGTGAAAATTGTCCCCTTACTTTGGTAGTCAGTAGGCAGGAGATCAATCTACCAAGGTTCGCTTTTCAGGGAAACCTCTAGAAACCTCTGGAGGGACCCTGAATCAGAAAGGCTGAATTTGTGGGTCACTATCAGTTGTATAGGAGAAAATATAACTATATCTACATAAATGTGGTCGCTGTGATAGAAGTATCAGATAATAATGTAGACAATAGTCTGTGAGTCTCTCCAATATGTCTTGGAGAAAATATAAACGTGGTCGGTTCTGATTATTCTAGCAGTATATAACGGACTATATGGGTCACTATAAGCCCTGTGATAGAAAATATAACATAGATGTGTCAGGTTCTGGTCATTCTACCAAAATGTAATGGAGATTGCGGGTCACTGTAAACTCTATAAAAGAAAACGTGTCAGGTTCTGGTAATTCCAGCAGGAAATAATGGACTAAATGGGTCACTATAAGCTCTATAACAGAAAATATAACAGAAATGTGTCAGGTTCTGGTCATTCTAGCAGAATATAATGGAGTTTCTGGGTCACTATAAACTCTATAGAAGAAAATGTGTCAGGTTCTGTTAATTCTAGCAGTATATAATGGACTATTTGGGTCGTAATAAGCTCTATAGAAGAACATGTAACATAAATGTGGTCGGTTCGGGTCATTCCAGAAGTATATAATGGACTATGTGGGTCACTATAAGCTCTAAAGAAGAACATATAACATAAATGTGTCAGGTTCTGGTAATTCTAGCAGTATATAATGGACTATGTGGGTCATTATAAGCTCTATAGAAGAACATATAACATAAATGTGTCAGGTTCTGGTCATTCCAGAAGTATATAAAGTACTATTGGGTTATTATAAGCTCTATAGAAGTACATATAACATATATGTGCAGGTTCGGGTCATTCTAGAAGTATATAATGGACTACGTGGGTCATTATAAGCTCTATAGAAGAAAATGTGACATATATGTGGTCGGTTCTGGTCATTCTAGCAGTATTAACATTGACTATGTGGGTCACTATAAACTCTATAGAAGAAAATGTGACATAAATGTGATCGGTTCTGGTCATTCAAGCTGAATATAATGGAGTTTATGGGTCCCTTTAAACTCTATAGAAGAAAATGTGTCTGGTTCTGGTCAATCTAGCAGTATATAAATGACTATATGGGTCATTATAAGCTCTAAAGAAGAACATATAACATAAATGTGTCAGGTTCGGGTAATTTTAGAAGTATATAATGGACTATGTGCGTCACTATAAATTCTATAAAGGAAAATGTGGTCGGTTCTGGACATTCTAGAAGTATATAAATACTATATGGGTCACTTTAAGCGCTATAATAGAAAATATCACAGAAACGTGTCAGGTTCTGGTCATTCTAGCAGTATATAAAGGACTATATAGGTCAATATACGTTATATAATAGAAAATATAACATAAATGTGTTCGGTTCTGGTCATTCTAGAAGAATATAATGGAATATGTGGGTCATTATAAGCTCTATAGAAGAAAATGTGACATAAATGTGGTCGGTTCTGGTCATTCGAGTAATATAAATTGGACTATATGGGTCACTATAAACTCTATAGAGGAAATTGTGTCAGGTTCTGGTCATTGTAGCAGTATATAAAGGACTATATAGGTCATTATAATATTTATAGAAGAACATATAACATAAATGTGGTCGGTTCTGGTCATTCTAAAAGTATATAATGGACTATGTGGGTCATGATAAGCTCTATAGAAGAAAATGTGACATAAATGTGGTCGGTTTCTGGTCATTCTAGCGGTATATAATGGACTATGTGGGTCATTATAATCTTTATAGAAGAACATATAACATACATGTGGTCGGTTCGGGTCATTCTAGAAGTATATAATGGACTATGTGGGTCATTATAATCTTTATAGAAGAACATATAACATACATGTGGTCGGTTCTGGTCATTCTAGAAGTATATAATGGACTATATGGGTCATTATAATCTTTATAGAAGAACATATAACATACATGTGGTCGGTTCTGGTCATTCTAGCGGTATATAATGGACTATGTGGGTCATTATAATCTTTATAGAAGAACATATAACATACACGTGGTCGGTTCTGGTCATTCTAGCGGTATATAATGGACTATGTGGGTCATTATAATCTTTATAGAAGAACATATAACATACATGTGGTCTGTTCTGGTCATTCTAGCGGTATATAATGGACTATGTGGGTCATTATAATCTTTATAGAAGAACATATAACATACATGTGGTCGGTTCTGGTCATTCTAGAGGTATATAATGGACTATGTGGGTCATTATAATCTTTATAGAAGAACATATAACATACATGTGGTCGGTTCTGGTCATTCTAGAGGTATATAATGGACTATGTGGGCATTATAATCTTTATAGAAGAACATATAACATACATGTGGTCGGTTCTGGTCATTCTAGCGGTATATAATGGACTATGTGGGTCATTATAATCTTTATAGAAGAACATATAACATACATGTGGTCGGTTCTGGTCATTCTAGCGGTATATAATGGACTATGTGGGTCATTATAATCTTTATAGAAGAACATATAACATACATGTGGTCGGTTCTGGTCATTCTAGCGGTATATAATGGACTATGTGGGTCATTATAATCTTTATAGAAGAACATATAACATACATGTGGTCGGTTCTGGTCATTCTAGAAGTATATAATAGAGTTTGTTGGCCACTATAGAGAAATTGTGAACCCATCTACATAAATGAGACATTTTCTAGAGGTCCCATGAGTACTTAGCCCAGGCAGGGTGCCGGTGGGCTGAGTGTCGGGGTGAAAGTCGTCCATTATGGGGGGCACACACACAGCTGAGACAGTGCCAGTTGCAGACAATCCATGCTCAGTGGCAGTTGGTCTTACCTTGGAACCTGTGCCCGAAGAACCTGTTCCTCAGCACCCAGGGGTAAAAGTTGAGGGGGTCCCTGTGCTGGGCTCCGAAGAAGGAGTGGGGGTGCTGTAGATGCTGGTGGGGGTGCACAGTCAGGGAAGGGTGGCTGACAGCCTCCGGGAAGACCAGTTCAGGGTTGGGGTAGAGGGTCCTGCCGGCTGGGTTGGGGAAGCCAGTGACAAAGGCTTCGGTGGTGGAGGTGGGGTAGGGCAGGGCGGTGGGTCGGAGGGGCTCCTCTGGGCTCAGGTGTTGCTGGGTGTCCTTGGCCACTAAGGACTCAATGGTGAAGCAGCGCTTGCCTGCTGGCTGGAACATGGTGCTGCTGCTGGGCACACTGGCCTTCTCCTGTCCTCTGCCCCCCCCCTGGAACAAGGGCTAAGGCTCAGCTCTGGCTCCCTGCTCCATGCACCTGGGGATCCTCCTGGATGGGGAGGGGGAGTCACCAGATTCTCGCCTGCTCTCTGGCTGCCCCTTTACCTGAACACTACCAACAGATCTGAGAGGCAGAGGAGGGCTGCAAGGCGTCTGGGTGACTGCTGCCCCGCCCACCTCATGAATTATGCATGACCTGGGGGGCCCAGCCTCCCCTCTTCATTAACCCTTTGCAGGAGGGACGTGGTGCTCATACCATGTGCTGCAAGAGGGGCCCCCCAGTCACGTGATCTGACCCCCTATCCTGCTTCTGCTCTGTACTTACCCTGATACTATATCCCCCTCCCCAGTGTACCTAGGAAGGGTGGGGGTGGGGGTCTGGGGGTAGTTCTGTTTCATTATGATATTTATTATAAGGGAAGATGTGAGGAGCTAAACTGATTGGGGGGAGGGGAGGGGGGGTCCAGGCTCTTGAAGTTTCCGCTCTGCCCTTCACTGAGAGTCATAGAAGGAGTTCTATTATAACGCAGTGTGATGGGAGGGGGGCGACAATAGGGTCCGCTGGGACCCCTACAGAACCAGATGTGTAGGGGGGTGCGGTCAGTGTACGGTGGGGTGCGGTCAGTGTAGAGAGGGGTGCAGTCAGTGTACGGTGGGGTGCGGTCAGTGTAGAGAGGGGTGCAGTCAGTGTACGGTGGGGTGCGGTCAGTGTAGAGAGGGGTGCAGTCAGTGTACGGTGGGGTGCGGTCAGTGTAGAGAGGGGTGCAGTCAGTGTACGGTGGGGTGCGGTCAGAGGACTGTGTAGAGAGGGGTGCAGTCAGTGTACAGTGGGGTGCGGTCAACGTTCAGCCCATAGTGGGGTGCACTCAGTGATTAGTGTAGAGCGGGGTGCAGTCAGTACTCAGAATAAAGTGGTGTGCTTTCAGTGCTCAGTGTAGAGTGGGGTGTAGTCGATGTAGAAGGGGGTGCAGTCTATGAAGAGTGAGGTTCAGGCAGAATACAGTGGGGTGCAGTCAGTGTAGAGTGGGGCGCAGTGCCCAGTGTACCGTGGAGTGCAGTGAATGCAAAGTGGAGTGCGGTGTACAATTGAGTGCAGACAGTTGAGGGTGGGGTGCAGTGCAGAGTATAGAGTGGGGTTCAGGCAGTATACAATGGAGTGCAGAGTATAGAGAGGGGTTCAGGCAGTGTACAATGGAGTGCAGACAGTGTGAAGTGTAGTGCTCAGTGTAGAGTGGGGTGTTCAGTCCGTGCAGAGTGGGGTGCAGGGCTCAATGTGTAGAGTGGGGCTCAGTCAGAATAGGTGGGGTGCAGGGTGTAGAGTGTGGCTCAGTCAGAGTAGGTTGGGGTGTAGGGCTCAATGTGTAGAGTGGGGCTCAGTCAGAGCAGGTTGGGGTGCAGGGCTCAGGGTGTAGAGTGGGGCTCAGTCAGAGCAGGTTGGGGTGCAGGGCTCAATGTGTAGAGTGGGGCTCAGTCAGAGCAGGTTGGAGTGCATGGCTCAATGTGTAGAGTGGGGCTCAGTCAGAGCAGGTTGGGGTGCATGGCTCAATGTGTAGAGTGGGGCTCAGTCAGAGCAGGTTGGGGTGCATGGCTCAATGTGTAGAGTGGGGCTCAGTCAGAGCAGGTTGGGGTGCAGGGCTCAATGTGTAGAGTGGGGCTCAGTCAGAGTAGGTTGGGGTGCATGGCTCAGGGTGTAGAGTGGGGCTCAGTCAGAGTATGTTGGGGTGCAGGGCTCAATGTGTAGAGCTGCGGCTCAGTCAGAGTAGGTTGGGGTGCAGGGCTCAGAGTGTAGAGTGGGGCTCAGTCAGAGTAGGTTGGGGTGCAGGGCTCAGAGTGTAGAGTGGGGCTCAGTCAGAGTAGGTTGGGGTGCAGGGCTCAGAGTGTAGAGTTGGGCTCAGTCAGAGTAGGTTGGGGTGCAGGACTCAATGTGTAGAGCTGCACTCAGTCAGTGTAGGTTGGGGTGCAGGGCTCTGTTGCAGTGGCATCCATTGTCAGGCTGGCTGGCTGCTTGGCAGGGGTTAGTGTCCAGTAATTAGTAGAGTTGATGTAACCCCTGTGGAGGGGGCAGTTCTCTCACCTCCTCTACAAAGAGTCTATTTTCCACTCCAATGAGCTGCAATGCCCCAGTGACTGTGATGTCCCAGGCAGCTTTGTGTCAGGAACTGAGAGGGGGGATCAGGTAATGTGGGAGGAGGAGGAGGCAATAATGTGTCACTTATCCCTTCCCTCAGCCAGGCATGTGTGTGATATTCACTATTATACTTGTTTTTATTATTATTATTATTATTATTCCACTGTATATATATATATATATATCTGGCAGAAAAGACTGACCCAGTCACATCAGTCTCTGACATAGCTTACAGTTTATAGAGATTTTATAATGTCATGCCAATGGTGGAAAGAAAACTCCCACTTGACGCCATGCTTATCATCGCCTTTATCTGGAGCTCCTTAGAAGAACCTTCTCCATGGGTCATATTCGGGATGAAGTAGCCATCACCGGAAGCCAGAGGCGGTGATTTCATAGGCAGCATCAGGGACATTCAGCAATATAATGTCAGCAGGGTCCTCTCCTGGAGACAAGGCTGGCATGGCTGACCCCTTATTCTGAAAATGCTACTTTCCTGGCTGTCATGCCGAGTCACTGACCTAGTACAGATCATGCAACGTTTGCTGTCAGAACTCCTGATCCGCTCTATTGTTTTCGGTCAAAGACGTAAAAAAGTACAGAAAACAAAAAGATCAGCATGACAGCCAGGACACGGGCATTTTACAAAGTGTACGACCTCAGTGCAGGCCACATACTTGTCTCAGTACAGTTTTCTTTCAAAACCCAACATTTAAGAATAGTAGTTTTCGTTGGCGCAGCATTGTAGATATAACAGAATCACTAGTATTAGTGGCCATAGAAGTAATATTACTAGGAGTAGCAGCAGCAGGAATATATGTAGTTGAAGTCATAGAAGTAGTACTAGTATTAGATATAGAAGTAGTACTAGTATTAGATGTAGTAGTAGTAATAGAAGTAGTACTAGTATTAGATGTAGTAATAGCAGTAGTACTAGTATTAGATGTAGTAGTAGTAGTAATAGAAGTAGTACTAGTATTAGATGTAGTAGTAACAGAAGTAATACTAATATTAGATGTAGTAGTAGTAATAGAAGTAGTACTAGCATTAGATGTAGAAGTAGTACTAATATTAGATATAGAAGTAGTACTAGTATTAGATGTAGTAACAGAAGTAGTACTAGTATTAGATGTAGTAATAGCAGTAGTACTAGTATTAGATGTAGTAGTAGTAGTAATAGAAGTAGTACTAGTATTAGATGTAGTAGTAACAGAAGTAATACTAATATTAGATGTAGTAGTAGTAGTAATAGAAGTAGTACTAGCACTAGATGTAGTAGCATTAATAGAAGTAGTACTAGTATTAGATGTAGTAGCATTAATAGAAGTAGTACTAGTATTAGATGTAGTAGCAGTAATAGAAGTAGTACTAGTATTAGATGGAGTAGCATTAATAGAAGTAGTACTAGTATTAGATGGAGTAGCAGTAATAGAAGTAGTACTAGTATTAGATGTAGTAGTAATAGAAGTAGTTCTAGTATTAGATGTAGCAGTAATAGAAGTAGTACTAGTATTAGATGTAGTACTAGTATTGGAAGTAGTACTAGTATTAGATGTAGCAGTATTAGAAGTAGTACTAGTATTAGATGTAGCAGTATTAGAAGTAGTACTAGTATTAGATGTAGTACTAGTATTGGAAGTAGTACTAGTATTAGATGTAGCAGTAATAGAAGTAGTACTAGTATTAGAAGTAGTACTAGTATTAGTTGTAGTAGTAGTAATAGAAGTAGTACTAGTATTAGATGTAGTAGCAGTAATAGAAGTATTTCTAGTATTAGATGTAGTAGCAGTAATAGAAATAGTACTAGTATTAGATGTAGTAGCAGTAATAGAAGTAGTACTAGTATTAGATGTAGTAGCAGTAAATAGAAGTAGTACTAGTATTAGAAGTAGTACTAGTATTAGATGTAGTAGCAGTAATAGAAGTAGTACTAGTATTAGATGTAGTAGCAGTAATAGAAGTAGTTCTAGTATTATATGTAGTAGCAGTAATAGAAGTAGTACTAGTATTAGATGTAGTAACAGTAATAGAAGTAGTACTAGTATTAGATGTAGTAGCAGTAATAGAAGCAGTACTAGTATTAGATGTAGTAACAGTAATAGAAGTAGTGCTAGTATTAGATGTAGTAGCAGTAATAGAAGCAGTGCTAGTATTAGATGTAGTAGCAGTAATAGAAGTAGTACTAGTATTAGATGTAGTAGCAGTAATAAAAGTAGTACTAGTATTAGATGTAGTAGCAGTAATAGAAGTAGTACTAGTATTAGATGTAGTAGCAGTAATAGAAGTAGTACTAGTATTAGATGTAGTAGCAGTAATAGAAGTAGTACTAGTATTAGATGTAGTAGTAGTAATAGAAGTAGTACTAGTATTAGATGTAGTAGCAGTAATAGAAGTAGTACTAGTATTAGATGTAGTAGTAGTAATAGAAGTAGTACTAGTATTAGATGTAGTAGTAGTAATAGAAGTAGTACTAGTATTAGATGTAGTAGCAGTAATAAAAGTAGTACTAGTATTAGATGTAGTAATAGAAGTAGTACTACTATTAGATGTAGTAGTAATAGTCATACTGATAGTAGTATTAGTAGTTCTACAAGATGTCAGAATAGTAGTAGTGGTTGGACGTATATTAGTACCCTTACTTGTAGCTGTCTGAGCAAAAGGATCAGCAGAACAGCCAGGCTACTAGCATTTTCAAAATGTCTGGCCCTCAGCATCTGGCTTCATAATTGTCTCCGCCCAATTTGTTTTAAACATCACCATAATACTTTCACTGGTAGAGGTATTAGTTGTCACAGCCATATCAGATATAATAGCA